ACCTCACTTCTTGCATCTGAAGAAGTGAGGTTCTTACCCACGAAAGCTTATGCTCCCAGTACTTCTGTTAGTCTCAAAGGTGCCACAGGACCCTCTGTTGCTTTTTACAGATTCAGACGAACACGGCTACCCCTCTGATACTTGTGCATGTATAGTTATTTCAATCTTTCCGCAGAACCCAGTTCCTCTAGCTCTATTCATGTGTTGCTCCCATCTGGATTCTTAAACATTTCTGGTGCTCAGATCTGAATGGTCTATGGGGCCTTGCTACTAGTGTATAGAAATCCTACTGGCTCTTTCTGACACTGCAAACTCATATCTAATCTACTGTCCGCTATTTCTAGCCATCCTTCCAAAATGCTGGGAAGGGAGGGTCTCCTGTTCCAATCATAGTTCCAAACCATGTGGTGAGGACAGGTACAGGGTTTCCAGTTTTAAACTATAACCTCACCCAAGCAAGAGTGTGAGATTAAATATCCAATAAAATTTGCCATTGGGGAGGGAGTGGCAGAGGCCAATTTTTTAATATAACAAGGAAAATTTTCAAATATCAATAATGAATTTTTATTCCTAAACTGAGACCATCATTTGCCTAGAAACAAACCCTTAAAACCAGGAATCCCATGTGCATCTAACTAGGAGTATTTTCTTTAGTCATTAACAAATGAGAGCTGTGTTCCATGGTATCCTAACTTAAAGAAAGTAATTGCAAGGACTCAAGTAGTGAAAGTTTGCCTTGTGTTCTGCTCCTGTAATGAGCTCTGCAGGAGCAGTCCAGGCATTGCTCAGTGAAGGGTTAGGGCCAAGCTGTCTGTAAAGAGCCACCCTCTCTGATCAATTTCTTGGAGATAGTGCTGCTACTTAAAACAAAGTTTTCTTAAGGAGTTTTTAGAGTGGAAAATGAGACTCACTGAGATGTGCCTCAGCATTTGCTTAAATCACTATAACTTTTGGTGGAAACAGAACACTAAGCCTTATTTATAGTGTGACAATTAACCATCTCTTAATTCTAGTAATTATGATTGTGCAATTATATGATTACAAATGGATTTAATGCCAAAAATGCCTTTAAATAAAGTCAAATTTTAGTTAGTTGAAACTAGATATATTCAACACTAATAGCCTTCTAGCAGTGTAATGAATTTGCTGTTAGTCTTCTGTGCAATACCTTCATCCCTTCTGGGTGCTTTTAAGGTTTCGTATATACTGTTTGTCTTATTTTAATATGTATTATGTTCCAATGGCTAAGTTTTAATAATTTTAAGTGTGTATATTGGCTAATGTTGGATTTGTTTCTGTACAGCATGATGGAAGATGTTTTAAAATTTTGCACTTTTTCTAGTATTTGCAAATTTGTAATCTAAATTTTTAAATGCACACTTATTTTGTACATAATGATTATTAAATTAGCTTTGTATATAACAGCTGGGGCTGGAGAAAATAAATAATAATCAGATGTGTGATTTCTCTGTGCTTTTTTCATGGTGTGGTCCAGTATTTATAACTATACCAAGAGGTTGGTGTGTTTAAGACAGGAACTACTACTAGTCTGTTGCACGTTTTATTAAGACAGGTAATAAATAATAGGCTCTGGAGGGGGAATAACAAGTGTGGGGGGGAGGAACCTAGGCTAGGCAGCATGAACCGATGTGACCTGGCCTCCTAATCTGCTAACATCAAGAAACGTTTTTTGGGGGAAGTATTCTCGTTGCCTTTAGTGGGGAAGGAATAGATCTCCCTTCAGCAAGCAAGTAAATAGGGGAGTCTTTCTGCTTCCAAGTAAGGTGCTGTCAGGAAAGGCTGGAGAACCATAAAATCTTCAAAAAGCAACAGAGGGTCCTGTGGCACCTTTAAGATGCAAGTGAGGTTCTTACCCATGAAAGCTTATGCTCCCAATGCTTCTGTTAGTCTTAAAGGTGCCACAGGACCCTCTGTTGCTTTTTACAGATTCAGACTAACACAGCTACCCCTCTAATACATAAAATCTTCAGATTCCCTTGCATGGCAAATCCTTATTTCACCAGCTAAGTGGAGAAGAGGGAGCTGCTTTCTTTCATGCCCCCACTACACAAACTACTAAATCCATACTACAGGTTGGACCTCTCTAATCCGGCACTCCCTGGTCCATCAACTTCCGTGGTCCGGCATAGGCGCTGACTCCGTGGGTGCTCCACGGCTGGAGCACCCACAGGGAAAAATCAGTGGGTGCGGAGCATCCACAGGTGCCAAGCTCCCCCCTCTGCCCCTTCCTCTTGCACGCCGGCGCCCCACACTTACCAACTCCTCCTCCTCCCCCCCAGTGCTTGCAAAGCACCAAGAACAGCTGATTCGTGGCGTTCAAGCTCTGGGAGGGAGGGGGAGGACCTGGGGCCAGCAGCTGGGACCTGCGGCCAGCATTGGAGCGGCCGGCTGAGCGCACCCCTACTTCCCATGCCCATGGAGACCTGCTGGCACTCTGCATTGACCTCCTGTGGGTTGGCAAATTCTCTGGTTCGGCACCGGTCAGGTCCTGAGGGTGCCGGACTAGAGAGATTCAACCTGTATAAACTAGCCTCAGGAGGGTATTCTTCCCTAGTGCTGCAAGGAAATGTTTGAGATTAGTCAGTTCCTACAGAAATAAAAATAGTGAGTAATGGGTTCTTTAAATCCTGCTTTATTTACAAAATTTATTTTTTCCAGACCTGGGAGCTCCTCTTTTCACTATCTTCCTTTAGGATCTGGTGTTTCACTGCAGGAAAGGTCAGGGCTTCTGGGAGTTACTATCGGTCAGGAGGAAACTGAAATCTGTTCCAGGCTCGTGTTCAGTTGGTTTCTCACCTCTGGAACGAAGACAAGAACCATGCTGTAAACTTGGCAGTCAAAGTACAAAGGTGAACAGTCTATTTTGCTTCCTTTTACTATCAGATCTGGGTCCTGGAAGCTATGTGGAACTCTTGGGCTACCTGCTATTAGGTATTGAACCTTATGGCCTAGTCCTTCACCATTACTCCAATCCATAGTTTTTCCTCATGTGACTAAGAACTACAGGTTTAGGCTTTTAGGACTCAGTCTGACACCCATTACCATCCAATAAGTGACGACTGCTATGTCTACAGTGTAGCTGGGAGGGAGTCTCCCAGCCTGGGGAAGGCCACCACAAGCTAGCGTGCTAGAAGTAGCAATGTGAACATTACAGCTTGCACTCTCAACCTGCCCAAGATGGAATGGGCACACTGCTATTTTTAGCACCCCAGCTTGAGCTGCACTGGAGATGTACCCTATGGGATCAGGCCCTGAACTAGTAAGGCTCATATACCAGTACACACAGCTGCAACTCATTTTTGAAAGGGCACGCGGTAGCCCAGTAAGTGTGAATGGGTTCAACACCCCACAAGGGTGCAGTTACAATCATCCTTTCTGCTGTTGAAGAAAAACACAAGCTTTGATTAAAAGCTAAACAGAATTGAATACCTCAAAAACAGCCTTGCTCCAGTTACTCCTTGCAGGGTGGCTTTGTCTCCTTCCACTAGTAACATTGCTCCTTCGCGCAAACCCTGAATTGACAAGAAATAAAACCCTAAGCTGTCACTTGAGCTCCAAAACGAGAGATCCGAGTTAACTGGGAATTCTTAATTTAACTGGGAATTTATCACTTTGAGGATTGACAGGTTCTTGTCCCAAGACCCAGTATTATTCAAATTATTATATAGTTGGGAATCTCGATGTGCACAGTTGCAACACTCACACTATAGGAACTCTTCTGTATTTACAAGTATTATTAATAAATTTAGCACAGTCACAAACACTAACTCAGTAAGGTAGATAGCGATAATACAAAAAGTATCTCTGGTTGAGCATCTAACCACAAGTTACCTTAAGGGTTATTTTATTTCAGCTCGCTTAAAGCATTTGACTCATCTCTGGCAACCTGGTGTTTATTTTAACTAGTAGTTCTCACAGTGAAGAGTACGGTCTCAGATGGGCAATCCCCAAAATGCATTATTTGGGCACAGACAGCAATTACTGCCTATATGCTGACTCCATCACCTGTGCCTAATAAGGATGGCACTTCAAAGATGATGGCACTAGGACAAACTAGGTAAATCATAGCTAGTGTTGCGAGGATGATTTCACTTTCTACAATCAGTTCACTGTGTCTTTAAAACGCGTGAAGGGGAAATAAAATGGTTCCTTGGGATCCTTCATTAGCTTTAACTACCATCATTCTCAAAGTCTAGTTTGTCAAGATTGCCATACAGCAACCAATGAAGTCTGTTAGAAACCACAACTAGGTATTTCTCAGACAGCAGGGATTGGGCATGCTGGCTAGGATGGAAAACCTCTGAATGCTGACCACCTACACAGCAGTGTGTTGTCATGACAAGTGTTTAGTGATAAAGATGCTTTGCCCCCAGCTCTGGCCTCAGCTCCTCTCCGTCCCCTATTCTGCCTCTAGCCCCAGTTCTGCCATCAGCCTAAGCTCTGCTGAGCCAACTGTGCTGTAATGGAGGGGGGCATGGACAGATTCCATTACTGGTAAGAGGAGTCTTTAAATCACAGGATTTGGGGACTTCAACAGCTGAGTCAAGGGAAAGGGGGTGGGTCAGCTTTTGTGGCCTGCATCATGCGGGAGGTCAGACTAGATGATCATACTGGTCCCTTCTGACCTTAAAGTCTATGAGTCTATGAGTCTATGAGTGTGACAGGTAGAGTTTGGGCACCACTGCTCTACTCTCTGCAGCCAGAGGCAGATGGAGGCAGTGCTGCATACAGGGTCTTTCTTGCATAGAACAAGAGGCCTTGAATATACAGGATGCAGATTAGAGCAACTTGAACAAGGTTGAAGCTAGCAGTGAAACGTCTCCATGGTAGAAGATGGACAGAAAAGCCTTAGAATACTATGGGAAAGATTAAGACATCTAAAATTCAATACCTGATTGGAGAGGGTGCATTCATATGACTTGAGTTCTGGAGATGAGAGTTTGAGTGGGATGTATTACTCACCAGAACTGGAGGGGTGTTTGGTTCCTCATGATACTGAAGTATCCTCTCCGCACGAGTCTCCTGGAATAGCAGGATCTAGTGTGAGTCCAGGTTTAAGTAATTTCTGCTATAGGAGTACTTAGAAATTAGAAACTTCTAGCTAAATATCACAAAGCACTTCAAGAAATGTTAACTTGATAATGTTTCCTAATGCTCCTACGAGGTAGGCAAGTATCATTCCCAACTGAAAAACTTCATTTGCTTGAAGCTTATGGGTGTAATATTGGCCATACTGAAGTCAATGGCAAGATTCCCACTGACTTCACTGAGGCCAGGAGTTCACCCTGTATCTCAAATACTAACCATTTGTTAAAATGTTGCAAACAAAAAAAATCTAAATTTGGAAACCCAGAAAGGTTCCACTTCAATTTATTTTAAGGTTAAGGAACTATTTGATTAAATATTGCTCTGTCCCTCATACTGCTGGAGGTAGTTCTGTAAGTAATTTTTGAATGAAGGAGAAAGGGGACAAGGTTTCCACCATGAACTAGCTACATATTTCTCCTTAATAGAAATGACATTTAAAGCCCTAATCAGGTTTCCTTGGCAGAGAACTCTGCCATGTAACCACGTGCCCTTGGAGTTGTTGGTGAGCCAAGTGACAGAAATAAGCAAGCGTAAAGAAGGGATAGAAGGACACAAAGGGAAAGAAGAAAGCCAGAAGGATTTATGAAAAGGTCAGAGGAACACAAAGGGCAGAGACAAGCATTTATATCCCACACAGCTTTGCCCCCTAGAAGTTCTGCAGAAAATTGAGCAGTAAGAAATACTGTTAGCTTGCCTCTAGAGCAGCAGACGGTTTTTTTCTCCCTGCAAAACTGATTTAAGTGTACCTGTACATCCATATCTTAAAACAGACCTACATTTAAAAAGTTTGGGTCCGGGTCCTCCATTTCTCCATGGTTCTGAGATGGAGAGTATCTTTTATTGTCTCCAAGAAACTGCCTGTGTGCGGACAGATACCATCCTTGTAAATAAAAGGCTGAAGTACTTTGTATCATAGGAGCAAAATTCCCTGGAATTGTGCTCTTAGGAGTTAACTAGTTGCAAATTATAGGTGGTTTGTTCAGCTATTACAATTTAAATTATCCTAGCTTCTTACTGAGTAGACCTAAATTCACAGCTCTGCACCTTAGTCTATGTATATGGACTCTATATTTGATGTAATATTTTCTCCTCTGAATTCCATTTACAATCTGTGCTCACTTCAGCAATAAACCTTAAGTTCTCAGATAAAGTGCCTTGGGGTGGGTGTAGTAATTTCCATATCCCTTACAGGTTCCATAAACCAGGGGTTCTTAGATGACTTTCGCTCCACCGTGACCTGAAAGTCTCAAAAGCAAACTCTTGTAGATGTGTATAAAGCCTCAAGACATTTCTAGATGGAATGTCACAGTGGACCAGAAAGTTAGTCTCTGGTGAAAGTTTTCCTAATGCTGCAGATATCGTTATTCAAGTTTTTTTTTAAGTTTGCCCTTTAGTATTTTCCCTTGCCCACCTAAGCAGTACATGCCAGCAGTAATATTAACTGTATTAGTCATCAAAAGGCCTGAGTTAGCCATCAAAATTTGTTCCACCTCAGTAATACTGTTGCCAAGTAACCTTCCCATTCCCAAGGAAAACCTTCCAAGAGGAGGCTAGCAGTAACAAAGGTTCCTTTGCTTCATTTACATTTCAAACAACTCCAGCAGGCAGCTGCTAGACAGCAGCAAACTTTACAAGTCACAGCATATGCATATTGTACTCAGACTTTAGTGTACTAGCTCTGCAGCTGGAGGAGAGGTACTTTACTTACACCCATGTGAGTGCTGTTAACATCTGGATCCAAGTAGTGGGGGTTGATGTTAAAAGGAACCAATCCAAGGGCCTGCAGAGAAGGTGGGTACACGATTGGCATGTCATTGGTTGTGTTGATGCTGATAGTAGCTACGTTAGTTCCTGCACTGGACCCCATGTATGGAATTCCATCCTGGAAGATAAAGCAGCACTGTAATAGGAAAAAGAAGAACAGGAGGACTTGTGGCACCTTAGAGACTAACAAGTCCTCCTGTTCTTCTTTTTGCGGATACAGACTAACACGGCTGCTACTCTGAAACTTTTCATTGTAATAGGAAAGGTTATTGCTGCAAGAAACTTAGTTCTTGATGCCAGAGATGAGACTGATGCCTTTTGAAACTGTCGGAGAGAAGGGATGTAAAAAGTAAGGTAAAAAAATTGGTGAAGTCAAACTCCCCAACTATAATATCTTTAATGCTAGACGGGGGAAGTTGAGGTGAAGTAACTGCCTCAAAATTACATACTCTGAGGCAGAGCTGAAACTGAATCCAGATAAACTCAATCCTGTGCCTTAACGTGTCAAACTCTGTAGGGAAATGATAGTGCACATGTTCTGACAATACTCACTGGTGAGAAAACATGCATCTTCTTTTAGACAACATTATGCTTATGTTGTTTCAGGGTTATTTACCAAGCATGTCTCGGGGTTGTTTCTGTTGGCAGCACAGCAAGTGTCTGCCTGTTATATTTTTATGAATTCATTTTCATCCTGTTCAAAATAGCCTAAACTTTTGGTGCCGCTGGTGCTTTTGGAGGCTAAGACCTTTTTGCCCCAAGACTTCGAACCCTAAACACAGACAGGTAAGGGCCAGATCCTCTGGTGGTGTAAATCTGCAAAGTTCCAGTGAAGTCCGTGAAGATGCATCAATCTAAACAACCTGTGAGCTGAGTGCTGCAATCCTAACCATACCATCTGAAGTTAATATTGTTATAATGCAAGTACAGAATTTGAGATACGTTCATTATTGAAGGGCTCTGCTGGAAAAGTGTTTCATGCTGGTTTGAAAGGAGAAAAGTGGTTACTGTGTATTGGTTTTTAAATCACTACTTTACGTAGGACCATATCTTTGAAAGTATATAAGCTCCCAATCAGCCTGATTTCAAATGGGAGTTAGGCACCTAAATACCTTTACAAATCTGGCCTTTGATTCACAGAAATAGGTGTACAAAATTGCTGAGAACGTAAAGGTTTTCACAACTAAAGCCTGGTTCTCCTTTTGATAGTCAGAGTGCTGAATTCCTGCCTAGATAGCAGTAAAAAGCTCTTTTCAAAAGGCCACATCTTTCAGTTTCTTACAGTTCCAGTCAGCTTTGTCACATCAACAGCATCTAGTTTGGGGTGTTGATTCATCCCTTCCCTTTGAAAGTGTCATCAAGAAGACAGGCCAGCAGCTGGGTCTCACATTCCCCCGAATGCCAATTCTGAGTTTGTGCTGGCTCCCAACTGGCTCCTCAGTTCCTCCAGACTCCAAGACAAGAGGGAACAACGCCACCCTCCTCTTCACATTTGGGAAGAGCAATGTCCAAGTTTTCTTATCAATACTACTGCTCTGCATGGACAGAATATCTGTATTCCACCCGGGAAGGAAAGAATTGAGTTCATTTGTGCCCAGAGATGTTAGCTAATGTGGGCTAAGTGTGCCACCCAAGATGGGTTACCAAAAGTACCAGCAAGGGGAGGGTGCCAATAATTCAGAGAAGAGTCAAGCTACCAACTTCACACTGAAGTGAAGTAGCTCTGAAGGTAAAAAGGAATAGTTCAAGGGAGCTTATGCCACCAGACCAATGCAAGGCACGGAGAATGTTAGACCTTTTAAAACAGCTCCTTGTTCTAACAAGGACCTGGTGTGGGGTGTCAGGAATTTTCTTAACAGCAAGAGCTTGGTGTAGGAAGCATTCTGATGAGTCTATTTGGATCAATATAATGCCATAGCTCATATCTGCCATCACCTAGGCTCCATCTGTGTGGACTGCAGTAAACCACCCCAAATAGTGTGGAAATCTGTAGCTTCTTCCTGCATGTCTTCAGTAGAGATGTTAAATGTACCTCAAATGTACTAAAAGCTGTGCAGCATCAGAGATCAATTGACCGATCCAAGTGATTTGCTAGGTAGCTATTTTTGCTGGGTTGAAAGCAGTTGCTCAATTACTCTCAGCCACATCATTAATATGGACCAAGTCAGCGGTATTTGATAAGAGCTCTTTTGATAAAAGCCCTCTTTTCAATTTGGTAGCTCCTTCAGGCCTTACTTTTTGTAACTTTTATTACACCTAAGGATAAAATCTTCTGCAATGGTATGTGCCATACACTGTTGTGCAATTTGTAGAGCCAGCTGAAGGAGGTTAGTGTTGACACTCCTCATCATCTTCCATATGCATCACACTATCTAGATTGGCTGAACATCAAGGGTAGCAAGGTGTTGCAGTCCACCTTCCAATTTCTAACTGTGCCTCTCCACCACCACGTTTGACAGTCTGCATTGCTGTCCCACCGTCATACTGTGAAGAGTGGGCTTAGCTAAACTTATGCAGTGTGGCAGCCACTCCAGCCATTTCAATCAGCAGCCGCTTAAACCTAATCCAAGATTAGCATCCCAGGTTGCAAACAAGTGGATGTAAGGGAGACGTTTCTACTGCCTTCTTGTGGCATCCCCTGTGAGTAGCATAAAGCAAAATGAAAGTAGACAAAATGCAGAACGTAGGCACGTTGCCAACTGTCCTTTTCAACCCTGATTCATCTTTCAGAGTTGTCCTTATGACTCTCAAAACCAGAATGGAGAACCACCAAAGACATATGCACCAGTCCCATGAGGCTCAGAAATACTCTTGCCAATTATGGCCAACACTCCTGATATTCCAGTTTAGTGACATCTCAGCATGGGCTATGTACATGGGTAGAATCTTAGGACTGGAAGGGACCTCAAGAGGTCTTCTAGTCCAGTCCCCTGCACTCAAGGCAGGACTAAGTATTATCTAAACCAGGTGTGGCCAAACTATGGCTCGTGAGCCACATGCAGCTCATGGAGGCCCCCCCCGACCCACACACACACATTTTCCACCTACCAGACTTGGGCGGGGGGGGGGGGGAAGCTTGGGGCTTCTGACCTCCAGCAGGGTGGTGGGACTAGGTACTTCTGCCTTGCAGGGATGGGAGGGTCTAAGGGCTTTAGCCCCGCAGAGGGTGTCAGGGAAGAAGTCACACAGCCCGGCAGGTGCCGGCCCGTGAGGGAGATTCTGCATGTCTTGCGGCTCTCGAACTTCTGAAGACTATATGTGGCTCAGAGGGTCAGTAAGTTTGGCCACTCTTGATCTAAACCATCCCTGACAGGTGTTTGTCTAACCTGCTCTTAAAAAATTTCCAATGATGGAGATTCCACAACCTCCCTAGGCAATTTTTTCCAGTGCTTAACCACCCTGATGGGAAGTTTTTCCTAATGTCCAACCTAAACCACCCTTGCTGCAAGTTAAGCTTGTTGCTTCTTTTCCTATCCTCAGAGGTTAAAGAGAACAATTTTTCACCTGTCTCCTTGTAACAACCTTTTATGTACTTGAAAACTGTTATCATGTCCCCTCTCAGTCTTCTCTTCTCCAGACTAAACAATCCCAATTTTTTCAATTTTCCCGCATAGGTTCTGGCAACTTGCTGCATACTCACATACTGCATCCGTCTAATATGAGGAACTAGTTGGGTACAACAGGGCCTGCCTCAGTGGTATCTCCTTGTGGCCCAAAGAGGCACTACTCACCCTGTTGCAGGGTCTCTGACAGCCGGCTGCTGCCTTTCACAGGGGCTAGGGCCATGGCGCTTTGGCCCTCTGGCTAAGGCACACTTGAGTCCCGCCTCTTATGGGGTATTAAAATCCAAAAATAAAGGAATACCATAAACTCAAAACCATGGTTGTCTGAGGAGTCTTCAGCTGGACCCAGCCCTTCTACTCAGGGATTGTCTTCATGCAGCCAGTCCTTTTAGTCAGTTGGTCTTCCTGGACCTGGTCAACCCATCCAGGCAGTGTTTGAGAAATCTTGCATTACAAAGACTAATCTGAAGTCAGAGATGAAACACTTATGTTACTTCATGGGAGAAGAGTTCCTTGATGTTCTTTTGCTGCTGAGACGCCTGAGTCCATGCACCCAAGCATAGCTAAGAGAGCTGGAGGACTTGGGGGATTGGTACTAAGATACAGAGTCTCACTTCTGGGGCACTGGCTTGAATCTAAAGTACATGCAGCTGGCACCTACTCTACACTATATGTGGGCTTGGCAGAAGTCAGTTTTTATTTTTAATCATTTCTATAGATATCAATTTTAAGCATTTTCAATTTAAATGTTCAGTTGCAATTATGGGTTTTGAGTATTTTTCAATTTTTATCTATTTACATTTTCATAGTTGCAGGAGATTACAGAGGGGTCAGAAAATATTTAATGACAGACGTTGCAATTCAAAAAGTTAAAGCTTTATAACCATTAAACACAGTATCATCATGTCAAAAATGTACAAAATAAACAACCTTAAATCACACAAACAAGTTCTCAAGCATTTCTTACTTTGCATATCTGTACATTTTGATGATTAATTTTTTGTTGGTTTGTGTGTGTATGGTGAAATGGATGTTCATTGATAAAGCTAATCCTTCTAAGTCGAATTACATGTGAAAGGAGTGGTTGTTTCAATTTTGTTTATAGTGGACAAGATGGATACCTGACCTTTAAGTGTCTCTCTCCTGCTATCTGTACCCTGAGCCAGTCCATCTCTTCTTTCTACCTACATGAGTTTCTTAAAGGAGAGATCATAGGCGCCAACTTTCTCGGCGCCGGTGGGTGTCCACGGCCCTGGCCCCACCCCATCCCTGCCCCTGCCCCCATTCCAACCCCATCCCCAAAGTCCCCGCCCTAACTCCGCCCCCATTGGATCCCTGCCCCGGCCCCACCTCGTCCCCCAGCGTGTCGTGTTCCCCCTCCGCCCTGCGAATCAGCTGTGTCACCGCGCAAGCGCTGGGAGGGAGGGGGGAGAAGCAGGACGCGGCAGCCTGCACAGGAGAGGAGGCGGAGGCAAGCTGGAGCAGGGGGGCGGGGCGGGGCCGGGCCACTGGGAGCTGCCGGTGGGTGCTAAGTACCCACCAATTTTTTTCCGTGGGTGCTCTAGACCCAGAGCACCCACGGAGTCGGCGCCTATGGGAGAGATAATGGTTCATTTAACTCAAGTATGGGGATAGTGGTTTCTCCTTGGGAGAAACATATGGCAACTATTACTAGATTACAGCATGAATTACTACATTTTGTTGAGTGTCCATGAGACTGCAGTTGAAGATATGGACATCAATAAAATGTAAGGCCACAAGGGATCATTATGATCATTAGTCTGGCTGCTTGTATAACACAGGACATAACATTTCACCCAGTAATTCCTGCATAAAGCCTCAAGGGTTGAACCATAGTATTCTAAAGTGTAGCAACCATATATAAGCAATTAAAAAAGCTTCTCCAAACACTAAGGAATACAAACTGAACAATATCCATCCATGCCCTTTGTAATTTAGTTTGTGAATCATTTAGGTTACCTCAAGAACTCTTTTCCTGATCTCCTGGAGCAGACTGTTGTCATAAAGAGCTTTCAAGAGCCGAAATGTGTTTCCACCACCTGCAGGAAAACAGTGTAGCTTTGCCTTATTTCAGACTAAGAATTGCCAGATTAGAAGACCCCAATGGGCCATCTAGTTGGTATCCTGCCTGCAGCAGTAGGTAAAGCCAGCTGCTTCAAAGGAATACTGACCTCAGATGAGGATCAGTTTATGCCCTAGAGAATCTCGGTCACATTTACCCCAGCTAATGTAATTGAAGATACCAGTCTAATATGCACGAGTAAAGTTTTTAAATTATTAGTCTCAACACAATCCTATACTATAGCGATGTGATCTCATTCCAGTTTTTAGGAAGATTTGATATCTGAGAAAGAATGGATGAATCCAAAACTCAATCTTCTGTTTATTCAAACTACAGATGATAATTCCTTCCTACGCTGACACAGAATTTAGAGAAGGCGGCAAGAATCGGATCTAACTGGTAGGAACTTGACAATCTGAGAAGTGTCTTTATTAACGCTTGGTGAATTTAGCGGGCTCAGTGCTGTGACTACAACTAGATTCCCTACTGGCAAATTGATTCCAATGCAGCAACTGCACTTACTCCTCTGGACCGTCATCATTAGAAGAAGTTTATTAATGTCTGTACAAGAAGCGGCGAACAGCAGAGGCTAACAGCAGGAGTTTGCCTGGGAGCTGTCCAAGAGGAGGTACGCTAAGTGCTGCATTAGGGGGGCTGTGTTGGTGGGCCTTGAGTGGGCCTGACTGGTAT